CAAATTAAATCGAAATTATCACCACACTTTCAAAACAACATATGGAATAAATCCAAAGTCAAATTGAACTATAAAGTGAATAATTAAATTCACTAAAATTCCGAAGGTCCAATATTATTCCTTATTCCATGCAAAGGTAATCATAAAAAATTAGTAGTCCAATTTACTAATTCTAATTTATTTTATTTGTTCGTATTATATATCATCATTTCTCACTAAAGTAAACCTATAAAGAAAGTTAGCTACAAAAGAAAACAATCAACCCAATCAAACAAAATAGTAAGAATCTTATATAATTAAATTTTTATTTTTATAAACTCCTACCAACTTAAACACTTACAATCAAATAACTCATGCAATAACAACTAATTAACATAAAATAAATTGCATGATTAAATTGTTAGAAATAAACAATTCAAAACATTCCAATAACTATAGAAAATTAAATTAATTTTAATTCCAAGAGTTACAACAATAAATTAAAATAAAAACTAAATTATTTTTTCAAAAACTATTTATAAAAAATCTGTTTTAAGATTGTTGGTATTTCCCCATAATTATACATGAAAAATATATAAAATAAATTAAATAGAAATGATAAAACAATATTTTTTTTATTAAAATGATGAGATACAGAATAAACGACACAACTAAAAATACAGAAATTAATTAGATTACATTATTAATAGAACAAATTATTGATATCGATAACTAAAGATTAGAACTCATCTTTGTAAACTAAATATTGAAAAATTTAAGAACAAATGATAAGAAAAGAAGCAAGCCGAAGCCTGCACTAGACAGTTTTCTTAAAACAGATTCACCGCCTCTCGATGGATGCTGGAGGTACGCCAGCGTCTGTCTCCCAAGATACGACGATCAAAACCAGCTAATAAAGAAGCACCTTCTGAATAGTTTTGGCAAACTTGACAATGGATGCACTCTCTCTAACAAGAACCAAAGAAGGGGCTAGCAAAAGAAAATAGGAAAATTTTTCTTTGGTGTAAAAAACCATCTCTAACTTTTTATCTTAAAATACCATCTCCATTTTCCATAAAAAAATCTCTTCAAAATTCTTCTTCCAAGTTGGAGGGAAAATGCCTCTATTTATACAAGTAGGGAAAACCCTAGCCATGAAGGCTATGCATCAATAAGGTCATCAAATGCTATTTACCAAGGCCACCAACTCTAGCCATTAGGGCTAGAGTTACAAAGGTTGAAAACGTGTGGCCACTAATATGGTTATCAACTCCATCATCAAAAGATGAGAGTTACAAAACTTATATTTCTCATGTGCTTAATATATACAAATAAATATGTATATAATGATATTTGAATAAACCAACTAGATGGGTCACCAAATGGGTACTAATGTTGGGTCGCAACCTGATCCAAGCCCAATTCTCAAACACATGCATAAGCTAAGCCTAACACAACATAGCTTAGTCCAAGTTCAAGATTAAGTCCAAATCCAAGTTCAAGACCAAGACCAAACCCAACATATGCACAAGCACAAGCCTAGGCCCAGTCCAGACTAAGACTAAGTCCAAATCTAAGCCCGACTTTATTGATGCCCACTTTATGAAACAATTCTCATTCACAACTCAATGGCTTCGGCTTAATATTTTTGTATTGAAACCTTCTCACTTGAGAATACAAAACCACTCAGACCCACCTCAACCGGTGGTTGAGTCCTACTTTAATTTCGAATTAAAGTTGCCAAAAACTCAGACCCACCTCAACCGGTGGTTGAGTCCTACTTTAATTTCGAATTAAAGTTGCCAAAAATCTATTATTTTCCAACAAAAAGTTGTTTTCTGATACTCTGCACATGCATGTGTCTACAAATTCATAAGGATTTGACCCGTCGGGGTTCATATGGATTTGACTCATTTAGAAGATTGTGATAAAAAAAGATTTGTTTCCAGTGACTGGAACACAAGACAGGAGTGTCTTGAAAAGTGTGAAGCCTAAAGGGCTAGACAATCTGAAACTGAGGATAGCTGATTGTCGAAGTGTGTTTTTGGATGCAATCAAGAATGTTAATTGTTGCAATGCAGGACCATAATGGAGAACAGACAAATTGAAGTGGTGATTTCATTCAAAGTTCTACTCAAGGAAATTCTTGGGAAATTGTTGCTTCCACCAGCAAGTTATGTAGTTGAGAGGTATGGACCAGATCACAATCCATCTTTGATAACAAATGTTGAAGATGGTTACTGGAAAAAGAGGATTTATGGAAGAAAGAAGCTAAGCAACAAGCTGCATTTCAAGCAATTGAACATTTGAAAAGTCGTTATGGAATTCAGATTCACGATATCAACTTTAACAAGTTCGTATGCAGATTTGTGTGACTTGTACATAAAAATTTTTGCTGAAAATGAAGACTTGAAGAAGCAGCTGAAAGATGCGTTTGATCCTAGTGAAGAATCATTTGATCAAAACATGGAATGATGAAATTCAAAATGAATGAGGAATTTAATTTACAATTAATGTTAGATTAAAATGTTTAGTTTATGTATTAGAATCTTAAAGTTTGAAGTGTCAATTGGTTAAGTTCAATGTGTTTTGGTGAATGTATTCAGGAAAGTACATGAATGTATTTGGTGAATGTAACAAGTCCTCTCCATAAAGAGGTTAGCGATCATTGTAACAATATAATAAAGACAAAACAATAAAGGAAAAGAAGAAATTTGAATATATAGAGTTTTGATTAAGGTATTTGTGTCTCCTTAGGAGCTGAAGGTCGTACATCTCTACAAGTTTTGTTTTATATATATGAGTGAGTTATGTTTTATTATTATCAATGTCCTCCATCCTTGCTAGTGTCCATAAATCTATTAAGAGTTCCTAATCGGAACCGAATTTTGTTAGGCCTTGTTTGATTAATAGGATTAATAGTAAAATGATTAATAATTCTATGAATTAATGTAAAATTAGTTATGAAATGAAATTAGTGAGGTAACCATTTATTATGTATTCATTTTATTTTATTTTTCTTGCATATTTGAAATTATGATCGCTAGCCCCTCTCAATGTTAAAAATTCATTGATTTCGTTGAATTGAATATCCGTTGTACATGTAATTTGATTAATAAAATTTACAATCAAACATAAGATTGTGAGTCCATGAATTAAGAATTTCAATCATATGCTATAATTCTAGTAATCAAACACGCTCTTATAGTTTCAAGGGAGATGAGGGTTGTCAAGGAGGAAGAGAGGGGGTCACCAATGAAGAAAAGGATTTGCAGTAGGAAATGGGAACTGGGGGAGGCGACTGAAGGAGGAGCTACCAAAGGAAGGTTGTTGGAGTGGGGGTCCAAAGGGTAGAGTTAGAATAATGGTGGCTGCTCGTTAGTCAACTTCCAATATTTTCTATATAAAAAGATGACTAAAAAAAGCCAAATTGTATATTATTTTTTGGTCCTTGATTTCCTGTTGACAATAATAATAATAACAATAATGCAGTAATAATTTTAATTCTACATTAAACATCACTACTAAAAGGATATAGATGAAATATCATTTTGCCCCTTAAACTTTTTCGCATTTTTCAATTTAACCTGTGGATTTCGATTAATAACAATTTTACACTCAAACTTTCAAAATTTTGATAAATTTGGCCCTTATCGTCACATTCTATCTACAATTGGACGGAATGTGCTGACATAGCATCAAAGTTCATTTGAAATTTCATTTTACCCCTCAAACTATACCTTAAAAATCAATTTGCTCCCCAAATTAATTAAAAATTAATTTTCCTTCCAAACTATACTTTAAAAATCAATTCCCCCCCCCCACATCAGCACATTCCGTCCAATTATTGATAACATGTGACAGCAAGAGTCAAATTGATCAAAATTTTAAAAGTTTAAGTGTGAAATTAATATTAATTGAAGTTTATGAGTCAAATTAAAAAATGCGTGAAAGTTTAGAGGGCGAAATGATATTTTCAGATACAACACAAACCTTATGGCAAAACATTGAAGTCAATGTTTCAAAAAGAGAGCAGAGAGAAGTTTGATTGATTAATACCGTTTCATCTAGAGAGCACTTTGTCTTTCTCTTCTATGAAAACTCATCTTTGAACATCACCAGAGATCTGAATCCAGTGTAACTGCCACATTCTTTGATATATATATATATATGTCATCTGAAACTGGTGAAGGCAATTTTGAGCATTTAATTTTGCAAAAATTCATACTTTGTTGTTTTGATTGATCGAAAAATCATTTTATTCATTTTTTTTAATTTTGTATTTAATATTAATCTTATTTGAAAAATATCAAAAGAAATGAATACAAAATAAATTTTATTAAAAAGAATCTATAAAACTCAAACTATGAGATTTAATTTTTTTTTTAATACAAAATAAATTTGTTTCACAAAAAATACGTCGTAATGGCCTTAAAAATTGGGAGAATTACATCCCAATCGCACAAAGGTTTTTTCTTTTTCTTTTTTTGTTTTAACACAAATATGACTTGCACCCACAACATTTCACTTCCATCCCATCACAGAATCACTTACACTCTACATGTTTTTGTAATTTTTTTTTCCTACTATAATTCTCCCTTAAAAATTTAGCACATGAAAGTATTTAAAATTAAAAATTAAATTTATAACTTGAGCCCTCATAACAAAATAGTACGAATTAAAATTAAAAAAATTATTTAAAAAAATTCTAAACTAATCAAACTGCCACTCGTAAAAGTCATGCCAGTGCCCAATTGTGAAGGTTAACACGGCTTCACAAGACCCCATAATCACGCTGTAAGGTTGTTGATGGGGTCCACACTGAAATCACACCACACCGAGTGTTGAACTCTATTGCCTAAGTCAACTCGTGGGTGTGCTACATTAACTCCTGTTTCAACCAGAGACCACTCTTTGTTTCTTTCTCATCTCTCAAAAACTCATCTTTTTTTTTTTTTTTATCATCTTCTAGTGTTACTGGTATATTCTTTCATATATTTAGGCTCCCAAATATCAAAGATATGTCTGGTTTAAGTGCTGATGATGCAATTTCAAGCGTTGTGATTGAATCTGAGTACTCATGCCGTTGCTTTTCACTAGTTGAGATACAATCAATGACCAACAATTTTAATGAAGAATTAGTTATTGGAATTGGTGGATTTGGTAAGGTATATAAGGGGTTCATCGACAACAGTGCTACAGCTGTTGCCATAAAGCAGTTGAAAGCAGAGTCCAATCAAGGAGCAGAGGAGTTCTGGAATGAGGTCAAGATGTTGTCTAAGCTCCGACACACTCATCTTGTTGCTCTGATTGGCCAATGCAACGACTGCCAAGAAATGATCCTTGTTTACGAATATATGGCTCGTGGGACCCTAGCCGATCATCTCTATAATAGAAGTAGAAACGAAACTGAAATTAGTACTTTTCATCTCACATGGGAGCGAAGGCTCAACATTTGCATCGGTGCAGCAAGAGGGTTAGACTACCTTCATACTGGTACCGATCAAAGTTTCATACACCGAGATGTGAAGACGACAAACATTCTGTTAGATGAAAATTGGGTAGCAAAGATTGCAGATTTTGGACTGTCCAAAGGCACTACAAGCAATTCAGCAACCCATGTTAGCACAAAAGTCAAAGGTACATTTGGGTATTTAGATCCAGATTATTTTTATACCCACAGACTAACCAAGAAATCTGATGTGTATGCTTTTGGTGTGGTGTTGTTGGAAGTGCTCTGTGGGAGGCCACCAGTGGATACAAGCCTCAAGGAAGAGGAAATTAGTTTAATCCTTTGGGCTCAACAACACATTAAAAAAGGAAAGGTTGATCGAATCATTGATCCCTCATTGAGTGGACAAATAACACCACAGTGTTTAAAGTACTTTGTAGAAGTTGCCTACAATTGTTTACATACTAGTCCAAAGAAACGGCCTACAATGGGTGAAGTGGTGGGGACTCTTGATCTTGCATTGGTGTCACAACGTAAAGGAAGGTCGGAAGGAATGATTGGAAAGATGTTTAAGGGTATTGCAATTGTGCCAAAAGGTATGAATCAGTGGTGGGGGGAGAGAAAGGACAACGGTTCAAAGAGTGGACCGTCAAAGGATTTGTTTTGGGAACCACTTTCGAATGGTGTTACCCGACCACTTCGTCATTTTTCACTTGCCCAGATTCGAGCGGCTACAAATGACTTCAAACAACGACTCACTTCTGTGGAAGGAACGACTCGAGATTTGCCTTGGTGCAGCACGATGACTACAACATCTCCATGAGAGTGTGAAGCAAAGAGTCATCCACCATGACATAAATCCAGCTAATATTCTGTTGGACAAGAATTGGGTTGCAAAACTTTTTCATTGCGGGTATTCCAAATCAATGTACGATAAAACATTAGATTATCAGTATAGTATTGGATATATGGCACCAGTGTACTCCATGGATGGAAAATTGACAGCAAAATCTGATGTATATTCATTTGGTATGGTATTGCTGTCAGTATTATGTGGTAAGGAGCCATATGATAATGTGGAAGGCTGGGGTATGTGATTAGTACGTCGGTTCATGAATGGTATCAAAACCATTGATCAAGTCATTGATCCAAGTCTGATAGGGAAAATAGCACCAAAATGCTTGAAGGAATTTGTTAATATTGCATTAAGTTGTCTACTTGATCAGGCCAACCGGCGACCCTCAATAGACATTGTGGTAAGGAGCCTTCAATCTGCATTACTACTACAGGAGGCTTGGGAGAATCATTGTGAGATTGGTGCTGAGTTACCTGTGATTGACCTTTCTTGTTGTAGCGTTTTCTCTATTGATGGTTACATGACAGTTGGTGGGGTGAGCCTTTTTCCATCAAATATTGATGATGATCTTGCTTCAAATCTTGACGGAGGATCGAATGGGTACCTGTCAGATCCAGATTTTGATAAATTGATTCGTTAATTAAGAAGCTTTTGGATTTGACTGTTTTATACTACATGTACGTCTTTCCATTTTATTCGTTTGGTGTCTTTTATTTATTTATTTATTCATTTTTTATAGTTATGTTTGTCATATGTTGGTGTATATATGTTAGACAATTTTTCATAGTTGGATGTTCGGATTGATGAAATTTTCTCTTGTCATCGTTGAATTTTTATATTCTCGTGAATGTGTTGGGATTTCCTTCATGGTTAATTGTCTAATGTGATTGGGTGATAATCAGTATATTAACCAATTCACAAGGGGATAAAATATAATTTTCCCTATTTGTAATATATCTTCTACAAGTGGAAGAACAAAAACAAAAAAACAAAACAATCACATAAATATCTATTTGTGTTCGTTTTTTTTTTTTTTTTTTTTGAACTATACTTGGTTTAGCTTGGTGCATCCATTATTACTTGCACTATGCAAACACCCAGACCAAGGCCAACCCTGAGGTATGGCCAGAAAGGCATTAGCCTTTGAATTCTGTCTAAAAAATAGTGCTCCCAAATGATATAGTTCTCATGTTAGGTACAATTAATTGAAATGAACTGAAATGAAATAATCATTTCATTATAATGTTTATTTTCACGTTCAGTTCACTAAAAAAAATGATCAAAAAATATATTATAAACAAAATTATTTTTCACCATTGTGAGAGGCTAAGTAACAACAATTCTATTTGGTATCAAAAAATATATTATAAAAAAATTATTGTTCACCATTGTGAGAGGCTAAGGAATAACAATTCTATTTGGTTCAATTTCATTTCAGTGAAGCAAATATTACTTTATTGTATTAGTAATTTGAACATGAAATTTCACTATTTTTTTTTTAATAATTGAAGTGGTGCATTATTTAATAATAATGGATGTTATTTGCTAAATGTATGGATTGTTTATAAAAGATTAGTTAGAATTGCCTCTTGATAAATAATATTTTCAAAGTTGAAGCTGATGAAATTTTACATTCAATCAATTAGGTCGTAAAATAAGTTTGAATAAATTAAGGAGAACTTGTCAAAAGTCTCATTCTAAAAGAGAATGCAGAAAGTTCCTTCAATTTTCTTATAGACTATTAAGTCCTATTGAATTTGAAAGGTATACCGTGAGGTCTTTTCACTATATATGTTATGGAAACAATAAATGTGGGAGTGGTTTATTTGTACACTATTGTCTTATTAAATTTTTATCAAATGTATCATTTTTGTTTTAAAACATAAAAAACAATTATATTAAAAAAATAAACAACATGCAGATCAAAAATGTTACGCCCCGAAATAATTAACATAAAACCCAACTCATAACAGTAAATCAATTGATCAATAATCTAATATCTTCCATTCATTTTATCTTTGATCATTACAAAAGATGACATATGCAATATATATTCATAAATCCTGGATTATGAATCTATAGCATATGACATCGATACAGGAGTAGAAAGGAAATTAAAATCACATATAGAAATGTCGTAATGGCTTACAACTTTTCAAGACGATACTTGGTTACAACAAAATAAGTCTAAACTCAATACAAATAAAGCCCAAGGCTTAAACAAATAATTACATCGAAACAAAACCAAAAAGAAGCCTTAAGCTCCAAGTCATCCCAAGCTATGTTCTTAGCAGAGTCATATCATCAGCACCTGAAAGTTGTTTTCCACATAGGGTGAGCCAAAGCCTAGTAGAGATACTCTAACGCAGTATAAGAATCTTAGCAAAATCATAAGGTGAATGTACAATGCACCCCATTTTCCATCTCAAAACAATGCAATGCCAGATTATATACCAATTCATGAAAATAATATTTTATACAGAAAACAGGGCAATGGATACAACATACTGGGAATCTCTAGATACGCGTTTGCAAGTAGGTTATACAAGAACTACCAAAGCCATTTTACCGGTACTAACCAGAAGGATCGACACCTAATCGCGCATGTTTCTGGACTTTCACCGTGGATACAGATGCCAACATAATAAAACCACAACACCTAACCAGATTCACCACGGTATTCATCCATTTTTTTTTCTCAAAACCCAATACATTTACAATGCTCAATGTAAAATGATGCACAATGCACAATGGATGAGAAATTAGTTTCAATTCAACACAATCCTTATGCTATGCAACAACAATCAAGACTATCCTCCACCGATAGCCCAAAACAGATATTTCTGTACAATAGATAACTTCCAATTAAAAGATACATTTTCATCAATTACAATGTGAGTGATATTACATATCCAACTCCACCATCATCATCATCATCAATATAACTATTATTCCAATTTCACACCATCCAACATCATTTTCCAATTCCTTTTCACAATTTCAAATATCCAAAATTAGGGGAAAAAAAACCCTCTTTTCTTTCCAAAATCAATTTTGAGAAAAAGCTTTCCACAATTTCAACACAACTTGTCCATAACCATATTCCTACAACCATTTTCAAGACTCAATTTGGAAAACCCCTGTTTCGATTTCAAACCAAACCTTAGGTTTTGCCAAAATTTCCCAAACACATAACCCTTTTAAAAAGACAAATAACTAAGTTAAAAATCATAAAAAGAGTCAAAGAAATCCCTACCCGAAAGTAGAAGACACGAAAAGAAGATGGGTAGAATTTGGCGATGTCAAAATTACTAGATGCTCCGATCAAAATGAAGCCCTCGACATGCTCAATGTTTTTCTCCAAAGGACTAGGGTGAAGAAATGGTTGCTCGAGTGACAAACATAATAAGTGACACCATTTGAGCGACCAAAACCATTCCTTGAGCGCACAGTGACCCCCTCCCAGTAGTTCAGATCGCTAAAAGTTCGCTTGAGTGCAAGAAATGCTGCTCAAATGTAGATATCCAAATCTTAGTAGTTTTATAGACTGTAAAAGACTGCTCGAATGCAGGATGGTTGCTTTAGTGAAAAAAACAACTCCAACCTGTTTCAAGTACAACCAAGACTCCCAATAGCCAAGCCCAACCAACAACAAGGAGGAAAACAACAAGAAGATGGAAATAAGTTGAACCACAGTCAAATGGCTTACAACTTTCCAAGACAATGCTTGGCTACAACAAAATAAGTTTAAACTCAATACAAATAAAGCCTGAGGCTTAAACAAATAATTACATCAAAACGAAGCCAAAAAGAAGCCTTAAGCTCCGACTCTTCCCAAGCTATGTCCTTGGCAAAGGCATATTATCAGCACCTGAAAGTTGTTTTGCGCATAGGGTGAGTCAAAGTTCAACAGAGATACTCTAACGCGGTATATGAATTAGCAAAATCATAAGGTCAATGCACAATGCATGTCATTTTCCAAACATTTATGGTTTTCCATCTCAAAACAATGCAATGCCAGATTATAAATCAATTCATGAAAATTATCTTTCTAGATAGAAAACAGGGCAGTGGATATAATACACTGGGAATCTCTAGGTACGTGTTTGCAAGTAGGCTATACAAGCACTACCAAAGCCATTTTACCAGTACTAACAAGAAGGATAGACACCTAACCATGCGGGTTTCTGGACTTTCACCAAGGACACACAGACCAACATAATAAAACCACAAGTCCAACCTCTAACCAGATTCACCACGATATTCACCCATTTTTCTCAAAAAAAAAAAAAAACGCGATACATTTGCAATGTTCAATGTAAAATGATACACAGTGCACACTGCACAATGAATGAGAAATTAGTTTCAATTCAACCTAATCCTCATGCAATGTCTACAACAATCAAGACTATCCTCCACCTATAGCCCAAAACATATATTTCTAGATAATAGATACATTCCAATCAAAAGTTAAAATTTAAGCAATTCCAATGAGAGTGATAATATATATCCTACTCTACCATCATCATCAACATAATCATTATTCCAATTTCACGATATCCAATATCATTTTTCTTTTTTCCTTTCACAATTTCAAATATCCAATATTTGGGCAAAACCCATTGTGGGAGTCGAATAATCTTATATGTAGGAAAGTCAAATGAATTTGTAGAAAATCAGGATATATACTATTCGGCTCTGTCCTGGGGGATCTTGAAGTTGAATAACCAAATTGGCCATAGAGTCAGCCGTACAAGAAGTTGAGTGCAAATAGGCACACGACAGAATGACCGAGTGAGCAGTTATGCGCTGGATTAAAAGTGGGCCCGACCCCCGAGATCATGGACGAGTATAAATGAGAGGAGCATCAACCAAAGAGAGGTATGTGAGAACAGATAAAAGAAACTTAAGACACAAGCAAATGAGAGAATATATACTAACTTGTCCGTTAGAGTGCTAATTTCGGCACCCCTGACCTGAGTGTTAATCCCTTTTTCAGGTGGTAATCAGATGATCAGGAACATCTTTCAGGATCCAAGTGTATTTCCAAACCACTTCTCCACAATTGGCGCTTTCTGTGGGAATACTCAATCACATCCATAGCGTGCGTAACAGAAGATTCTCCGATAGACGTTGACGAAACTACGCCAAGAGACGACCTCACTCCAAGAAACATGCTTGGACCGGAGAATATCACCGCATAACGGGCCTAGAACTTCGACTCAGTAGCTCAGACTTCACCCTCAACTTCAGTACATGAGACAATGCAGACGATTATGGATCGAGCAAAGCAAAATGAACAACAGCTGGAGAACATGATCGCTGAGAACGAGCGCCTGCGCCACGATTTGGCCTTGGAGGTGGCGTAATCCCAACAGGCCGCATGTCAAGACCGGGGTCGACCTTCGGGAAAAAAAGACGGTCGACGACGTTGACTTCAGAAACGCGATAATGATAGTGATTCTGACACGCCATCCCCGGAACCCAGAAAGAAAGGACGAGTTGGCGTATCTAGCTCACCTGAAGGAAGTCCGTATGTATGGCATAAAAGAAGGAGAAACGATGATTCAGATGAGGAAGATAAGCATGACCCTTTCATGCGATGAATTGCAAGGGCTGTGCTACCCAAAAAGTTCAAAA